TTTTTTTTTTTTTTTTTTTTGCTCTATTATCTGGATTCAATTTATTTGAAGTATATTTGATGGCGCTTAACCAAATAAAAATTAGGAAGAAGAAGTACTATCAGTAACTAGCCACGACAGTCTGTCCTTTAAGCAGTGATGATGGCAACATCAAGACAATGGCTAGTAAAAAAATTAAATCTTAATTGATCTGTTCAATGCATTGATAAGTCTAAAAACTTGCTCAAAATTCAGCATTTAATGATACTGTTGAATTCCAAAGAGACACATAAAAAATATTTTGCTGCAAGTCACACCCTCCAAAATATACAGAAATGATTATTATAAAATTGTTGTCTTACAGAGGATGACTAAGAAATGTAACTTTAAGTTGTGCAACAATATGGATGCAAAGTTAAAAACTTTATTCCTATGTGAAGCTTCTAGCTACTAGCTGCCTGTAAGGATTACTTATCAGATACAACAGATTAAATAGAGATTTAGAGAACTGGTTTTGAGGAGGGGGAAAACCAGAGAACCCAGGGAAAAAACCCTTGGGGTTAGGACGAAAAAAGAAATAAAACTTAAAAATACACTTATGATGTCAGGTGGTCAGGAATTAACCCTGAGTTGCATTGGTGAGAGGTCAGACGGCTCTCACCAATGCACAAATTTTCCTGCTCCTCTTCTGGCCATTGCTGTTGAGTTTTCTTAAGCTCCCTTATGTGGCTTGTCAACCCCTGCAACATGCAAGTTTTATCACAAAGATAAGTCATTAAAAGGTTGTGTAGAGGGAACTGGATTCAACAGAGGGAAAGGTGTGGGTCTCTAGTTAATTAGTAATTTTTCACCATCTGCTGGCTGTCAATTATATCAATATCAAATAGTAAAAAATAGTTTTATAATTTCTTTTCCATCTGATCCTGAGCAGCATATTTCAGACAAGATAAGATATTGTCCAGTTCAAAAGTTCAGACATAATGCAAAGTAAAGAGATCCATGAAAGTGTGGTGTTCATTAGTATGAATTAAGTCAATCTATTGACGACTTCAGAGTGATGTACCTTCACTGCAACAAATGTCTTTGAATTATATAATAATTACCTTCATTTATACATCTTTCTCTCCTCTAATACTATACTTTGTCCAGAGATTTTTCTTAACTGTGTATTTTCTATCTTGCCCATCAAATCGTGTGACTCAGCAGTTGTCAATTCACATTTGCCGTTCTACCTAAACCGCTCGTTATCACCTAGTAAGCTATACCTGTACCTTAGGGAAGATGGTTGTGGTCCCTGATTTACTGATTTACATGATGAACTTGATGTTATAGTTGTGGGAATGGTAACATTTTAGAAACAATAGGATTTATGATAAATACCTCATTTTATGACACCTCCTCAATGTATACAGTTGACCTGAAGCGCTGTTATATGTAACAACCAAAACGTATACCTAACTACAACATATGACCAAATCATCAGTTATAATTTGGCTTGGTTTCTGTGACATGGCTAGAAACAAATATTTTATTTTTATTTTTGCTCTCTCCCATACCATTCTGATTATTCAAGAGTTATTTCACAATTTAAATTTTGTTTGTCTTAATTTTCTTACCCCCAGGATTTTGAAAAAACAAGAAAAGTCCCAAAGCTTTGTCTTAAAATATCTACTTCCGAAGTCAGAATGGTTGATAGCTTAGAACACAGGGAAGAGATGTTTGAGTCTGATGATGTGGTCAGGGGTTTGAGTCAGAAGCATGAAGAAACAGCTCCAGCACTGAGTTGCCACACTTGTGGGGAGGAGATTTACAGTGAGGAGTTTGTAAATGATGAGAAGCTTTACTGCAGTGAGGAATGTATGGAAAGAGAAAGTTCTGCAATGTCAGTGGATACAACCAGAAGAAGGGTAAGACTGAGACATTGAAAAAATACACTTTCAAGGTTCTCATTAAGTGCCGGCAGCCAGCTAAAAAACTGGCTACTTCACTTTCTGAGCTGCTTACTTTTTGTGAAATAACACATGACGTGCAAGTTGTAAAGACTCATTCAGGGAAAACACAGGTTTTTTGGAATGTGACTGAACCTTGACTTTCCTTGTCTCATGATCAGGGCAGTCAAGGCTTTAGCTAGAGAGGGACATAGGGCCAGAGTGTGGTGTATGTTTTTAGTTACACTAGCACTGTAGGATAAAAATTGCTAAAAGTCTTTGTAGTCGCTTAATATTTTTGGCATTTTGACCTTTATAAAATCTTTTTTTTTTTTGAAGAAATATCTTCAAGAGAATGGGTAAAATAGCATTTCAGAGCCTCTAAATTTCAAACTTTTCTGGGGGAGCATGCTCCCAGACCAATCCTAGAGGCTGACCTTTCAGCAC